ATATTATTTGCTCCTTTCTAGTTTCAGCTTTAGTCTTGTACATTTGATGTGTCTAAAATGTGAAGTATCAGATAGCACAGGAATAGATATTAATGATGTATTTATTTGTTGAGTGAATATGTTTTGCTACTTTTTTGTTTGATTAATATACTTATCCCATTACTTGTATGTTGAGTTGAAAGTACGGATCCTACTCCGATCTTGCTAGTTCCATCAAGGATCAAATTGGTTGGCATGATTTGGTAAACCCGGGTGCATTGTGGTAGTGAGGAATGGTGTAATATTGTTTTGTATTGCATTGTGTATTTTGTTTACTGAATTGAGTTTGCCACTTGCCAGTGCCAAATGTTGCCATGGACATGTGGATGCAACACTGATATTAAAGCATGTATTTTGAAGGGTGTCTTTTGAATCTAATTTGTACGAGACTTCAAGCTGGTGGGAGTCTCTTCAATCCACAGGAGGGAACTCAAACTCCAGCTTCCTGATTCATTTCCTAATCTTCAACTCTTTATCAGGTTCAGGTTCATTTAATTGGTGAAACTGGGGATGGAGACAACTTTATTTGATTATTTGAATCATGTGTGTTGTTGGTTGTATTCTGATTCCAAGTTGTCATCTCTGAGCCTGAGAACCGAAGAGAATGCTACTTTAGGATGATAGTATATAGAAAGTATTTGGTCAAGAATAGGTGTCAGGTCACTTTCCTTCCTCATGTTCAACATATGTTTAAGAAGTGTAAGAGTCAATGTGTGTGTGAAAAGCTCTATAGTGAAACATTCATCAGAAGCACATGTTGGCCTACCTAACATTCTCAATTTGATATTGATGGGAACTAAACAAGTTAATCTGATTAATACACTTATGTATCTGCACTAACATACATAATTGAGAAGTTTCATATGTTAAAGTTGTTGAATTAAAAAATGTCAATCTTAGTCCTTTTTTGTTCCATGTATAGAAGTAAAAGTCTATAATGTACATGATAAGAAGATTTTCTTCACTGACTGTCCTAAGAAGTCTAAAAAATACAAATTCTATTATTTGAACCTTAGTAGAAGAATAGTTAATTATGGTAATACTTGTTTCATTGTTAATTTTGGAAAGATTATTTACTTAGTATGACAATATACAAATTTTAAGAAAGACATATTGTCTAAATTCAACTATTTGGATGTTAAGTAAAAATGAAAATAACATTTAATGCTGCATAAAATATATTTAATAGATGCAACGACATTTAAAAGAGTCGAAGGTCCTCAACAACCCAAAACAGAAGTATATAAAACAATTCAAGGAGAGAGAGACTATGTTGTATAGTGCAAAACTCTATTTAGTTTTTTTTTTCATTCTCAAAAGCTTAATAGAGAACATGGTTTATGTTCATGTAATAAACTAAAATACAATATACAAATATTATATTCGTCAATAGAAAATGTTTTTCTCAAGTAAGCAACTATGTGATTTTTTATCACTAATAAAGGAGCTCTTTGATAAAGAATACTCATTATCCTTATTAATTCAAAGTGATTATTATTCAAATAATACTTAACTAAGCCTAATTAAGCTAAATATGATTTGTGAAAATAATAATTGATTAAGTCATAAGCTACTTGAAGAAAACAAATACTTGAATGGGCTCGCTCAAAAGTTATACAAATCACTGTAAATGGACGAGTCTTCTTATGTGATTAGTATGGGAACTAGATGATCCCATCATACGTCAGTTCATCCAAATATGATATGTTCTCAAGTAGACTCCAAGCCTACCTCCTTGTCATCCAGCGTGCTACACGAGGATTGTTTTCATCGTAAGTGAGCAGCACATGCCACCTTCCCATCCTAGGGAAATGCTCATAAATACAACTCTACGAAAAATTACTTAAAGTTTTGTATAAATTGGAAAAATATATGAAATCAAAATGCAAGAGAAATATGTACCTGTAAAAGAGTTGAGTATCCAACCATTTTGCTTCATCTCTGTAAAGTTGCCATCCTAAGCTACTTGCACATATGGACAATTGCAACAACGACCCAAGCATATCCGTCACATGCGTGCAAGTCTTTGAACATCATCAAGTATGATACACATATGAGGGTGTCATTCTTATTTGTGAAAATAGTGCATCCAATTAGATGCAATAAGTATGCTAATGTCACACACTCCTAGTGTTGTAGCTCACAACACTCATTATAGACATCCTTTAACCAACTCAACCTAACTCTATGACTATGTGCTTATGTCATCTTAGCTCCAACCCTAACGCAGTCTACAACTTAAAAGTCTATAATAACATTCCGAGCTTCTCTAAAACCAACGACTCAATCTCACAAAATTGCCCCATAATAGGTAGGTGAAGTAGTGACGACACATCATCTAATGTGATAGTCGTCTCACCCATCAGGATATGGAAATTATTTGTCTCAAAATGTTATTTGTCAGCAAACACCAATATCAATCCTTTGTCAGCGTAGTCGTACAAAATACCAACTAAGGGCATTAGACCAGAATTCAACACAAAAGATTAAATTGTCTTATGACATGGTCTAAATTTATTTAATTTTTCTCATGAAAGATCAAGTTGATTTGCCCTTCATCCTACACAACAACAAAATATATAGAAAATAATTGAAACTACTCATTACCAATTAAAATTCATGTTTTGTACTAACTCAGTCCTGCCATAAGGCATGGCACCTCCTGGAAATCCACCTACTTCCTCTTGTTATTAAGTAACATCCTTCTGCTTAACAGCATGCTCCTATTCTTGAGTAACATCATGCTCTTTGTGAACATCAACATCAGTTTCTTGAGTCCGTCATCTACGAGTTGATGTTATCTTTCACCCTATGTTGAACTCTCACCATAATAAGTAAATGCACCTCATGTTCCTGCTATGTTTGTGACAACCAAAATATACAAACAAAAAATATATATTAAAAAATCAAATATACAAACAACAAAAAGTAATACAAAATTTAAATATTTTAAGAAATATATAAACAATTAAATATAATAAAAAAGAATTTTAAAAAAACAAAATATAACAAAAAAAATTAATAAACCTAAAAGAAATTTGAAACACATACATATAGAAAAAAAAAACAAAATAACAAAAAAATATATAACTAGAATTCGAAAACCTTCCAGGTTTAAGCGAATTTTAAAATCTGATATAGGTTTAATCGGCATTCGAAATCCGTTTAAGCCTTCAATGACTTTCGAAAGGTGGCTAAACATTAACTAGATTTCGAATACCGATGAAGGCCTCGCGAATTTTAAATGCTCGCATTCCAGATCAACGAAATTCAAACATGCACATAAACTACTAATTCAAACAATGTTACGCTAACTATACCACAATCATAACCCAGTAACTAATAACGTAACATCCTTTGGAGCATCATGGTTATCATGATCATCACTGCTTGTACCTCCATCATGAATATCCCCATCACGAACTCATCATCATGAATATCCCCATCATGAATATTCCTATCATGGTCACCACCATGAGCATCTCCACTCTATGACCTCCATCATGAACGAATTCGTCATACTCTTATACCTTACTTTACCACACCTATAGTTTCCGCATACAAACCCGCTCGAGTTGTCCCGCCTTCACGGCTAAAGGACCTGTCACACAAGGATGGGGTAAAACACATTCCCCCACATAAGGAAGGTTCGAACACCACTCCTTTTCGCACACAAGGCTAAAGAGAGTCGTTGTCCCGTATCGCACGATAGATAGACTCAAGATTTACTAGGTATAACAAGTAGACATATCTTTCAGTCTTATGCTCATCAACCACATGTTCAGGTACAACCCAAAAGTCACTAATGTTCCATCCTCAATCGAAAGTCAAACATGATCCTAAACACATTAATTATTCTCACTTTCAAAGTTTATGTTTCATTTTTTTAATGGTCAAGTTTTCTATAAGAGTATCCAATATAATTATACTTATGTACGAAATTAATTTTCTTTGAGTGGAATATAAACATAGGATATTCTATTTATAATAAAAACCCATAAAAAGTAATTACAACTAACTAAAATAAAAAATATAAATAAGATAAAATAAATTTAGTTTTAATTTAATTAATTTTGATAAATTTTTAAATAATATATTATATTTTTGTTATTATTATCTAATAATAATATTTAATTATATATAATAATATATAGGTTTAATTGCTTCCTTTGTCCCCAGTTTGGTTGAATTGTGTCAAATTCATCCTCATTTTTAAAAAAGTTTCATTGTCGTCCTCACGTGGTGTAAAAGTTTCATTGTCGTCCTCACATGGTGTAAAAGTGTCAATTGAATCCAAACATAGAAAAAATTTGTGTCAAAGTAGTCATTTTTCCTATATCTCTGTGTCTTCCTTTCATACAATCAAGTACATATATTCATTTTATCTTATCCAATTTAAGGCTTTTCATAGCTCCAGAGAAGTGACATATGAATCCATATGAAGGAAGACAAGAATATAGGAAAAAATGACTACTTTGACACAAATTTTTTCTATGTTTGGATTCAATTGACACTTTTATACCACGTGAGGACGACAATGAAACTTTTTTAAAAATGAGGATGAATTTGACACAATTCAACCAAACTGGGGACAAAGGAAGCAATTAAACCTAATATATATAAAGATATATCTCAATCATATCTTTGAAAATATCTAATCATGATATATTTTAATCTCTAGACCAACTAAAATTATATCTTCTATTTTTTTTCAACAAAATTTTAAATTGACAACTATTAAGTTAGTTTAAAAGATTCATATAATTAATAATTTACATGTTTTATCTTTCTACACTCATATTTTAATGTTTTACATTTAATAAAAAAATAAAAGATTCTTTTATTCTTAAAAAACGTTAAAGGGTAAAATAAAAAAAATAACAATAACAATTATTTTAACAAAAATATATATTCAAAAATATTATTTATCAAATAAAGAGTATTCCCTTATTTCTAATCGGTAAATTTTTCACGTATCTTCACTGCTACAATTGACCTTGGAAGAACCCTAATTAGTGCAGGTCTATCACCATCTTCTTCTTCTCGATTCAATCAGATTCGTGAAAGAAGAAGTGAAACAATGAAGCTATCGTTTTCCGTCCCCTCATCGAAATCCCCAATCGAAGCCCAAACCCGTCAATACCTTCGACGACACTTCCACCGCCCAAAATGACGCTGACGGATCCAAACACCTCATCACCGAATTCGATCCTTCCAAACCCGGTCCCTCCTCGCCCCCAAAATCCTAATTCCGCCAGTCCAAAACGAATGGAAACCCTTTAAGAAGATGAAGAACCTCCACCTCCCCACCGCCGACCCTGAATCCGAACCCCTTACATTCGAAGTCCACGCCGTCGACGGCCAACCCGACTCCGACGTCTCCTATGGCCTCAACCTCCGCACCGACAAAAAGACTGAGCAAAACAACGGCAGCGCACTTCCGCCGCCGCCGCGCCGCGTTCCGGTGGAGGGCACGATGCTGCAGAAGCTGAAGGACGACATGGAGAGGCTACCGGACGATCAGGGGTTCGACGAATTCAAGGATGTTCCAGTCGAGGGTTTTGGCGCCGCGCTGCTGGCCGGGTACGGGTGGAAGGAAGGGATGGGGATTGGAAAGAACGCGAAGGACGACGTGAAGGTTAGGGAGATCAAGCGGAGAACTGCCAAGGAAGGATTGGGTTTTGTTGGTGATGCTCCTGCTGCGCTGGTTAGGAGTAGCAATGACAAGGACAAGAAAGCAAAAAGAGAAT